AGAGGTGGTAAAGTTTGAAATGAGCAATGGGTGTGAAAAAGGTGTGAGTTGGTGAAAGGCAGCTAGAAGTAGCTGAGCCCCCAAAGTCCTCCGAGGTCAGTACATCTAAATGTAAGTGTTCTTTGGTGGGTCCATGAAGCCGTGAGGTCATGAGTACCCTTCAATCAGTAATTAATTTCTTGGGTCCTCATTTCTTCATTTGTAAAACTGGGGGTTTACTCCACTCCAAGATGATGGGTGCCCTTGTTCACGTTGATGATAATCAATTTGAAGATTCCCCTTCCCTATTTTCTCCCTCATAACTCTGCGCATGCTTTTAATCATAAATACGAAAAGACATATTCAAGTTTCTAAATGGGCTGAGAGCTACATTGAATTTTATAGGTTCAAAGGCATTCCCAGAGCACCAGAGCATAGTCCAATAAAGGCTGCCATTGGCATAAAGCTTTAAAAACATGGTAAGAGTCATTCCTGTTTGGAAAAAGTTCCATATTGGAGAATATAATGTATCCTCACCTCCCCAAGTGAAGGGTTTTCTCATAACCATCAATTTCCATAGAAGGGCTGCAAGGGAGAGTTTATTACTGAAGTTTATTTTTTTTCTCCTCTATCCCTTCATGTATCAGGGGCTTTGTCCCTATCATATCCCCTCCAATACTGATGTACATTTAAAGCGATCCCATGACCACACTGGTATATGCTGTTTAGAGTCTGTTAACACAATGGAAGTCAGAGACAGCAGGGGGGCAGTAAGGTTTTATTTTACCACCATTCATCCAAGTTCTAAGAGACTATTCTGCTGAGAGGGGAGAGTAGTGAGAGCTCCAAGTTTCCTTGTGAAGCAAAATGTGACTTTCATAGAAGCTTGGGTGTTCAACTCTCCCAGGCAGGGAGTGTCCACAGATACACAGCTCTGGACAAGGTGAACTCTGAACTCACTCACAGAAATGCTAGTGTAAGTCCTCCCAGCCTGGCATCCTGACTCTAGAAAGAGTATGTATATACATTTTTTCAGAACAGAATGACCCAAAAAGGCTTAGAATATGCTTTAAATCTGTGCTTTCCAATGGAGAATGGAGAACGGTCATGTCTGAATCATGAGAGGAGCTCTTTCAAACCACATTTGTTCACAGAAAACTCTTTTCCTCTCCAGGGACAATCAGAATCTCCAAGGAAGGGACCATGGGCAGTCTTTGTAGAAGTTCCCCAAGGGGAGTGCAGTGCCTGTGCCCACATGTGAGCTTGCATGCACATGCACACACACACACACACACACACACACACACACACACACACACACACTCCCCTGCTTAAAATCAGTGTCCTGAGGAATCCTAATAAGTCACCCGCATACCATCGAACCACCCTGAGAACCTGTTCATAGTGTTCCTGCCTTTCTTCCCTTAGGAAGGAGAGTGTCAAATGCATGCCGAGTCATACAGTAATCACAAGGCCTCCAGAAACTTTCGAGGCTTTGCTCTTCTGAGTAGCTGAGCTCTCCAGAGAGCTAGATCTGCCCATTTAAGCATCAGCCTTTTTTTTTTCTCCAGCAATTTTGAAAATAAAACTCTTGAAGATGTTATTGCATGCGGTCAGTTTCCTGAATATAACGTATCTTTACCTCCCCAAGTCAAGGCTTTTATCATAACCACCAATTTCCGTAGAGGGGCTGGAAGGGAGAGTTTATTACTAAAAGCTGCTAAGTCCCCCAAGAAGACTGCTGAAGGCAAGTGGAAAACTGGAGAATAACAAGCCAAAACTGGACCTCCAGATAAGGAGGCTAGAGCTGACGTCAGGTAGGGTGCCACAAAGATAAAGAGTTGGTTAACTATAAACAGGGTAACATTTAGGAGAACTGTCCACCACGGGCATTGCATTCTGAAATTTGATTTTCTGGGCAAGCCCCACTGTAGCGCACGGACAAAAATCTCAAGTCTAAAGGGTGATCTGCTCCTGTCAGAGTATTTTCCTCCAGCCCTCTCCTTCTAATTCAGTGCTTGTGTTTGCTTGTGCTCCTAGAGATAACCACCCTAGTTAGAAGGGCATGAAGGGCCAAAGGCTGTCCTTCTGGTAAGTCACCTATGTGTGTGTGTGCTTTGTGTCTTCTGTTCAGGGGTCTTTGATTTACTGTCTTGACCGTGGCTGTTTCAGGTTAGATTGCCACATAGCTGAGCTCCAGATAGATAAGGTGTTGTTATTCTTCCTTATTTTTCCCTCTAAAATCACCTTCTTCCAGATTCCCATGTTCAGTGATGGTAAACAAACCTACATTCACCCTCTCCTTCCAAAAAGCTTCCACCTTAGGTTGTATCTTTTCCCACTGGGGAGGGTTCTAATCTCAGGTTCTGTTGTTCACGTCAGGGGGCAGCCAGTGCTGCAGTGACCTCTGGGAAGGTACACATCTGCTAATAACTCACAAAGGTTCCCTACATTACCAGCGTTAAGGGACGCATCCCCTCCTGGGGGCTCTGGGAGTAAGGTAAATAGTCCACAATCCTGCCATCAGAGGCCACTCTTGAGAGCACAAGGTCAGGGGCCAAAGGATAGCAGTGATTTAGCAGTTTATGTGACAGACAACAAAACCTAAGGGAGCTTGTCTTCAAGGTGCTGGAGTCATGTAACTGAAACAAGGCCAGGGAGAACAATCCACGGTGCTGTCATCCACACAGACACACCAGTAAGACCGATTTGAAAACAAAGAAAGAAGAGCATGGGATCCTGTTTTTGTGCTTATTTTTTCCAGTCACCTTGCAATACACCCGGCTACCTTTGAGCTAAGCTTCTATTTCACAGAACTCTGTCTTGGTTTTCCCGCCAGTACTCCACCCTCTAGCCAACCCAGTTTCTCTTCTTCTTCTCCCATTCTGGCTGACACTGAGGCACAGGAGAAGGGAAAGACTGGCTACAAAGAGCACAGCATGTGGTGAGGAGTGGGAGGCTAGGAGTCACACCTGGATACTGGGTTGGTCTCCCACCCTGTCACTTCCTAGCTGTGGAACCCTGGCCAAGTGACTTAATGTTTCTGTGACTCAGTCTTTCTCTGCAAAACGGAGAAAGAATACAGTCATAGAGAGAATACCTAACATAGGTGGAGGCGGTTAAAAGGTACAACCTTCCAGTCATAAATAAGTCCCAAGGATATTAATATTCGGCATGGCGACCACACTTCACCAGAGTATTGTGCATTTGGAAGTTGTAAAGAGAGTAAATCTCAGAAGGTCTCGTCATAAGAAAAGAGCATGTGTAACTATGAGGTGATAGATGTTAACTAAACTCATAGTGGTGATCATTTCACAACACAGACATATATAAAATCCTATGTTGTACACCTTAAACTAATATGATGTTATATGTCAGCTACATCTCAATAAACCTGGGGAAATAAAGGACACTTCATCATGCAAACTTCGCAGTATAGGTGTGAGTATTAACGGAGACCACACTTATAAAGTGTTTAGCAGAGGCTCTGGTACACAGCAAGCCAACACTGCCAGGTGACCAGAAGCAGCTGCAGCTTGTCCCCAGCGTGCGGCCCTCACGGTGCCCTCAGAACGTGCGCTGAGATTCGAAAGACTCCAAGGAGAGGTCCTTGAAGATTCATTTTAATAAGTAAGAATTATTTTTCATGAAAACACATGTAAACACATACTTGAAAATGTTTAAAAACTTTAAACTTATTCTCTGAGATCTCATATACAACATTTATGTGTATGGTATTGCCCCATTTTCATAAGAAATATAAAGAAAATTCTTATCTCAATTATCAACATTTCCAAAAGTTTAGAATCCATGACAGCTAAGTTTTCAGCAAACGGAGGTCAAGACTTTTCTTTTCCTCAAGTAAGGTCACTTTTGAGTCATTTTGTCATATATGCTGACTCTTCACACACTTTCCCTGGAGGACAACCTTCTCCCTTAATCTTTCCTCCGCTCCAGGCACTGAGCACCACCTATTTGGTGCCTAAAACATCCCTTTAAGACCATTTTTTGGACAGGCTCCTCCTGCCAAGAATGAACATCCTTCCTCCTGTTTTCACAAGATACTTCTCAAGGACCTGCTCAGCTCCCTGGTGAAATCTTTCCAACTGTGCCTTCTGCATACACTGCTCACGTGACACTACGATTCATTTATATACCTGCTTACAGGTCTGCCTCCCTCAGCAGGTTCTGAGAGCGATGCTTTGACGTGCATAAGGCTCACCTGATGATCTTGTTATAAATGTAGATTCTGATCTACATTCTGCCCCATTCTGATTCAGTAAGACTCCGGTGGGGGCCGCGATTCTGCATTTTCCTCCAGCTCCTTGGTAATGCTGATAACTACTAGCCTGCAGTCCACTTGAGCAGCAAGCTAAGAACATCTCTGAAATCCCAGGAACTTGGTACCTCATCACCATCACCATTTTTGACACAGCTGCCCAGCAACAGTACTCAGGCGGAAGGGAGAGATGGCATGACTGCCTGAAATATGGGAGGACCAGGTGGTAAGAGGATGTGTGTGCGGATGGGGGTGGGAGGTGGGCAGAGTGGGTAGATTCAGAGAGGAAAAGGGGACAGGATGAGGTTAGTGAAGAGAAAGGAGGTAGTAAAGAGTGGAAGAAAACAGAGTGGCCAAGACAGAGAGGAAGACAACAGGAAAGGAAAGAGGAGAGAAAAGGAGGAAGGGATGGTCATAGGATGAAAACAGGAAGGAAGGTCAGCTGACATCTCTCCCTAGGGTGGAATCAGGCCCACATTATCTGACTTTCCAGATGAGGTGGACTTCCAGACTGAAGCCCTCAGGCCACTGAAGAAGTGTGCTCAAGAGCTTCAACCACTTTCTTCTAGCAGTTCTTCCTTCCTGCCTGATGAGAGAGGCGCTCACCCTTATACCAAATAAGGGTCTACGACATCACTGTGAGTGGACACGGTGTCTATCAGCACAGAAAATCTAACACAGTTCAAAGTCTTTTCCCCCTAATACTTCAAACTGACTGTCCATGAAAACAACCTAAAGTCACCTGATACAGTTCGATCCGTTGTTCAGGTACTCTGGCTTTTGGGTTCTGTAAACGGAAGACTCTGAACTCTGCTTTCACCAAATTGGATGCATTCTTCTCCATCGCTGAGACATCAAATCGGACAATTCTGAAGTAGGGTCTGTAGAAAGTGGGTGGGATGGCATCTGTAAAGAGTTAGGGCAATCATTGAAAATGATCAAATCCATCGCTCTCCCAAAAGAGCCCGCGCAGCATGAGACAGCCTCCAGGACCCATAAGGGAAATATCTACAGAATGATTTGGTTTCCAATGGGTCAATTTAATACCATTAGCAATTTAACCAGAAAAAAATAAATAAACGTGCATTTGGTTACAGGAGTAGCAGATTAATAGAGATTAACAAACCACTTTCAACCCTCTTTGAGGGCATGCAGTTAACCCTATCCTTTGAAAGTTGACAGAGTGATGGAAAATCCTCAATGATTATGAATTGGAACAAGTTCCCTGACAGCTGATGCTCGGAGAGAGCTGTTGGGCTCGCGTACACTTTAATCAGATGTGCCAAGAAAATAGCTCCTAATGTCAAGCAGTTTGACTACATTTTTTTTTCCTTGAAATTTTGGCATCTGAATACTCAACTCTATCCAGGTTCAAGTATTGCATCTTTTTTTGGCTTCAATATTTTGTTTTTTCGCACACATCTGACCAAACATACCCTCTTGTTAGTTAGGGTGAAGAAGCTAGAATTAAAAAATAAACAAGCTATAGCCATATACTGGCTATACCAGGTCCAGTCTTAAAATTCTCTGTTCAGGATAATGTCCATTGATGGGAGGGAATATTGGCTAATGAAGAGAAAGAATCAACCTAAATTCTTTCAGTTCTGAGCCATGTACAGAGATGAAGACGTTACATGATTTCAAACTCAGAGGTTGCTAAAGCAGGTCCTAATTTTATCCTCATGCTTCATATACAACACCCACTGATTGAGCACTTACACTGGATGGTCATTTGTTACAGATGTTTCTACAATCCTCTTCCAAAATCTGCAAACTTTCTTTCATTACTCCCAGAATGTTCCATGCAATTCTGGCAGCTCCAGTATTTTCTACCTTCTCCTCTATTAGGCAGCTTCATTACAACATAATCGTTCTCAGTTGTTCACGGTTTTGACAAATGTTTTTATTACTCCTGCATCATGTGTGTTTATTTTGCTTTCCCCCATCAAATTTTAAGAATCTTGAGGGCAGAGGCCATGCTTGCCAGATCTTTCTTTCTCCCCACATACGTAGGATAGGGCTCTGCACACATGGAATTCAGCAAATACCCACTGTTTGCATAGTTGGTCATCAACGGGAGTCTTGAAAGACTCAGGGATCTGGCTATTGGCAAGACAAACTTCTTATTAAGTAAATGAGCCACGTTGCCAATCTTAAAATAGAAATAAATACCTTCTGTGATCTCTGGGGAAATGCATGCCCTGACGATTACACTGAAGAAAGTGCTAGGAACACACCACCATTTGCTCACCTTAAGAGCTCGGCACTTCTTTCCTCAGAGGGACTTTTCCCTTTCCCCACGTCCTCTGACTCTCAGAAAACAGCTCAAGGGGGAGTGGTGAATTCCAGGCCACACTCTGCCCAGTGACTTTCATAAATGACTGTGTGAATTGAAGCTTTGTAGCTTGTGAGCCAAAAGTCTCAGAAACAAACAAACAACCAAAAAAAAAAAAACCCCTCAAAAATCCAAAGCATCCAGGTTTTGGAGAAAAGAAACGTATTCGTGCAGACATGGTGATGGTTCACTGCATCGCCACTGTGAAATAGTTGGTGGACAGTTTTTAGGCAATCAAACATTCGTACAATGGAAAGGTTTTTGGAGCCCCCTAGCACAGCAATTTGAAAGGGTAGTTTCTGAGAGAAAAAATGATCTTTGTCTCTGAAATGTGCCCACCCCAGGCGACGGGACAGGTTTGTACCAGTTTGACCAGCTCTGCTGAAAACACGCCAAGTGCCCAGGTGGAGAAGCCAGGGCAGGGCAGAAGCCAGGCTCTCTGGCTTCTTACATGCTCTGGTTTACCCAGAACCTTCTACAGGCCTAGTGGCAGCATTCATGTTTTCATAGCCTCCCCATTAGTCAGCAGAAGCTTCAGCACGTTTTAGTAGAGCATCCTGAAAGAGCAAAGCTAATTCAGTGTGCTTCCCATCATTAGGAAGAGAAAATGTCCCCATCATTTCTCCTCTGCTCAATCAGTTGAACCCCCACGGCCTCCTCTACTTCCACAAACACTCATCTTTCACACCCACCCGCCCCAATCTTATCCTTCCATCAAGTTTGTAAATAAGTGCTCTTGAGATTTATTTTTATTCTCTTTTGTGTTTACTCAACTTTGAACAATTTCTTCCCCTTTCTGGTCTTCTGCCCAAAGTCACTCTTTCTTTTTATGGCTGCTACAGACCATGAGGTCAATTTTGTTTCTTCTTCTTCTAAGCAAATCATCCAATGATCCTGTCCTAGGCTTTCGAGCTTTGAAGGGGTGTTTGCAAACATTTACAGGAGTAGCTGGATCGTTAAAGCGCATCGCAGTTGATCTCCTCTGCTCCCTCTACGCTGGCAGACGGCCCTCCTCCCCTCTGGCTATTATAACCATTTCGGCTGTTTATACTTTAGCTGCCTGATGATGCAAATCCGCATTTTTGCTTCTTGTTTCAATGCACGAGGCAAAATAACTGCTAAGCCTCCCCTCCCCCCCGCCACCCCAGTGCCTCTGCTTTGGTCTCGCAACAACAGAGAAGTGACCAGGCCAGGAGAACGCACCCTTCCCCACATACTCTTGCACAGAAGAGCGGGAACTTGCTCCATGGACACTGTCGAACAAAGAACTGAACGCTGCTTCCAAGGGTGGGTCTCAGCTGTCCTCTGCTGTCATCTACTATGGGTCACCAGTGTCCTGCCTGGCTGAGGAACTTAAGCAACTTGCCAAATGTTTCTGCATTTAGGGAAAAATAATCACAGCAAATTGCGCTGGCCTAGTCCATCCCCCAGTCCTTACCTCATAAAAGCTTTCATATACGCAGGGCAGGTAAAACTGAAAGTGACCCCCTGCCCCCAGCGGGGACACAGCGGGCTCCCTCCCCAGGCTCCTCCAGCACTTACAGGCCTGGACAGCCCCGATCCACCCACTTGGCCTTTGCAGGGATGGAGCTCTTCCCTCAGCCTCCTCCCAGCACTCACTTCCCCCTTCCTAATGGGAGTTTTCTCTAAAGTCCTCTTTAACTCTAATCCCAGCTCCTCTTCCATCGCCAGGTGGTCAGGCACCCAGGTTTGACCTTTTCCAGCTTAGCCACACTGACATCCTGGCTGGCTCCTTCCTCACAACCTCTGACCCGCATTTTGTGGTGCAACCAAATCAACATTCATTTAACCCTTTGGATTTCAGACCACCAGGCTGCTTCTGCTCCCTGCCACGCTCTCCCACGTGCCCTCTTCTCAGGGACAATCTCACACATGGGAGATTCCAGAATGTCCTTACATGAGGGGTGCTCCCCGCACCCCAACCCTGGCCACTCATCCCTGCGGAATCAAACTCCAGGGGATAGTACAGGAAGCCCAATGCAGCACTTAATCACAAGCTGCTTTTGTGGGCGTTATATTTTGGCTTCTCTGTTCCAAATAATTCGTTAGCTTGTGATATATTACCTGCTTCCTGTGTGAGCACCTGGAGCTCAGGCATCCTCACTTGTGGCTCTTTGGCTGTCCACAGCCCCAGGCTGGCTTGGCGGGCTTGCGGCAGTGCAGTTACACTGGGCCCCTTGCTCAGAAAGCCTCACATCTGAGTTAAATGTTCTATGGTCACCATCCGAAATTCTTGCATGTCTTCTGTGACTTTAGGCTTTGAAAGTGAAGTCTGGTGAGACACTGGAGCAAGGGGCATGGAGCCTCAGCTTGTGTGCTGTCACCCCTCCCACTACCTGCTGACTTCCCTAGGATGGTTTCTCAGTCCTCTGATGCCCCCAGCCTCACCTGGGAGAGACAGGGTCAGGGATACACACCTGAAACAACTCCGGGCAGGTGTGGTAGAAGCTGTTCACACCCGAGGCTGCCAGTGCCTGAGCACATTCAAAGGGCAACTCAGCAGAAACATGCTCACGCTTGACCCAGCTACTAAGCACATCCTAGCGCGGAGTTTGCAGTCTTGTGGGTTGGTGTCGTAGTCCCACAGAAAGGAGATGCCAGGCTCAAAATGGCATCAGTCTGCTGGCTGGTGGTGGGAATCCAGCAGCTGGTGGGCAACACACTCCAAGTGGCCAGGCAGGGCCCAAGTGTCTGTGAGTCTTCCCCAACTCTGGGAATAACCATGTACCCAGGGAACATGACGTTAAAGGGCATATAAAAAAGTACTGTGACAGGTTAAGAGGGAACAAGACCATGGCACAAGGGGAGAAGTTTTATATTTTAGGACCTCAACAATACCTTTTTCTGCCTTTTTAAACATGAGCCTCCACGTTTCTATTTTGTAAAAGGGTCCCACAGATCTTATAACCAGCCCTGCCTCAGTCACATACAGTTATAAGGTCATTAATGCAGGGAGGGACCCGGAAGGCCTCCTGAATTCTAATCCCATATCAACCAGTCCTAGCTATGTGGCAATAGGGACATTATTTGGCTTTTCTGAGACTGTTTCTTCATCTGTATAAAGAGTTAAATAGTACCCTACCTCACCCGCACTGAATGGTGTTGTCAGGACACCATAAGCAAGCAGACGGAGAGTTTGAGCACAAGCTCTAGCATTAATTTCCCCTCAGAAAGGTCCCGGCTGTCCCCCCTCCCATCCTGCAAAAAAGCTGCCAGGTGGTCTTGGTGCCTTTTTTGAATGTCCCCAGAGAGAGAAAACTCTTGCACCCCAACTAACTTAATTAGTTAGTAAAGGAGAAGGAGCAGAAGAGCCGTGGGCACTGCAGCAGTTGATCAGCATCGCATTCTAATACCTGCCCTCTGCACAGAAGAATTATAGTTACCAAAGTTCCCACAGACGCCCCTCCATCCTCCTTTCATATTTCACCTGTTTCACTAAAACCCTGCCCATCAGAAAGGGTGACGAGAGAGCTTGACCTCCCACCAGACGTCTCTGCATCACGTAACTCCTCCTCCCCCTGAGATGCTTACCGCAGGACACCTTTTACAA